GGAAGCATAAAATTAGCACAAGAATCAAGAGAATTGAATAAACAGGTACACAAAAATAAGTACCAAATGCCAAATATTGACGAATAAATTGACGGAGTAAGTCAGATTATCGCGGAGAAAAAATCGGGGAATGTATACTTTACAACATTGGATTTCACATATGCGTACGGACAAGTCGCATTAGAACAAAAAACGAGCGAGCAATGCAATTTCTCGCTAGTCGGCGGAAAATCCACGGGGACTTATTGTTTTAAAAACGGATTTTACGGACTTACGTCTATGCCGGCGGAATTCCAGAAGGTAATTGATAATTTACTTAAGGAGTTCCCCCAGGCTAACGCGTTTTTTGATGATATCTTAATTGCTTCAAAAGGAACTAAAATCGAACACATTGCGTTGGTGGAAAAGATATTGAATAAGCTGGACGTCTCCAATGTCGCGTTAAAATTGCGAAAATGCGAATTTGCGAAAACGGAGTGCGAATGGCTTGGATTTCGAATTGGGGAAAGTGGTATAACGCCCTTAGTAAGAAAAACACAAGCAATAGAAGACTTGAAAACCCCAAAATCTCGAAAGCAGTTGAAATCTTTGATGGGTTCACTACACAGCTTACACAAATTTTTACCCAAACTCGGCGAATTAAGCGCACCGTTAAGGCCATTACTGAGTCAAAATAACGATTTTGTCTGGACACCCGTTTGCGAAAATGCGTTCCAACAATTAAAATCGCTGGTGGAAAATATTGTCGAATTTCGACATTTCGACATTCACCGTGAAACTAGAATTATTTGTGACGCTAGTCACGATGGTCTAGGGGGCTGTCTTAGAATAGTATGGCGCATCCGGGTGGCACCCAATTTCGTTTGCATCCCGTTATCTTAATCCGGCTGAAAAAAATACTCCACAAACAAATTAGAATTACTCGCGGTAGTGTGGGCTACGGAACATTTTCGGAATTATATATACGGTCGGTGTTTCACAGTGATATCTGATCATAAAGCGCTAATTATATTGTTGAATTCGTCACCGAAAGGAAATAAATCATTTTTCAGTCGATTAACTCGATGGTATGATCGACTGGTGCCATACGACTTTAAAGTTGAACATAGACAAGGGTCAAAAATGGGGATGGCTGACTATTTGTCTCGCTTTCCGTCCGCAGAGGCACCCGAGACGAGTCATTACGATGAAAATTTTACAGTAGCAAAGATAAGAATGATAAACGCGGCGTTGAGGCCCAAGGACAAAATGAAGCCTAGGGGTCAAGAAAAGAATAACATTAAGCGAAAACCGAAAGTAGGGGGCGAACAGTCAGGTTTCGACACAACGAAATCAGTTTCATTCTATGAGAATGAAAGAAAAGACGGTTATGCAAATATTCACCGTGAGCACAATGCATGCAAATACCGAAGAACGAGATTCAGACTTTGTTCTCATTGCTTAAATTACAGTTGCAAACATAAAAAATTGATTCAATACCCTCGAAACCCTTCTATTTCAACTAACTACAATTGCAAGGCTTCTGCGTAGAAAATTTACAGTTGCAAACCATCCGTCTTACAAGATTACAGTGAAGAGCCACTTACTTTGAAAATTTACAGTAGTAAAGAATATAGTGAAAAGCCAATTACTTTGAAAAAATACAGTAGCAAATCCGAGAGAAATAACTTGAGTAACCCAAAATATAAAAAAATGAGTAACTCACCAGAGAAAAATGATCCTCCAACTTCGGCAATAGTCAACACATCAACTAATTTGGGAAATGTTTATCTAAATGTTGTACTGAACCGCCTATATCAACCTCCTAGCGTTAGTTCGGATTCCGATATTGAAATGATACCACCCGAAAAACTTGATATCAAACAAACTAATTCTAAAAAACTAAATACAATTATATCTTTTCCACATCAGTTCCCCGGTTAATCGTACCCACTTGTACAAAATGAAATATGGATCTATTCTATAGTGCCGTCGGATAGTAAAATAGTGAAGAAAATTGAACACCCGGAAGTTTTGAATTTAAAATTGATTGAAGCAAATATTGAAAAAGACCACATTATGAAGACCATCCGAGACAACATCAGAGACAGGAACCCACGAGCAAAGGAGATTATTACAAGAGTAGGACAATATTATGCCCAGCATTACAACGATTTCGCAGTACGTGAGAATTGCCTGTGGATGGACGGCCGGTTAGCAATACCGAAGGACCTATCATCAGCAATTCTGAATCGCCTACATTATAACCATCATGGGCGGGATAAGATGTTCGCGGCCGCAAAGGACGTGTGGATTCCCCTTATGCACCAAAATATCGCGGCCACAGCCAAATACTGCAAAAGTTGCTTAGAAGCAGGTAAAAACCTTAAACCGGACATTCCGAAAAGTGACATGGGGGAAACGTATGTTCCTAAGGAACCAAATGATTTGGTCCAATTAGATTTTTGGGGTCCAGTAAACTATGTAAGGGGTCGGAAAAAGTATGTACTTGTAGCAGTAGTTACTTTCTCGCATTGGCCGTCGGCGTATGTTTGTTCAAACAACAAATCAAAAAATGTATTGAAGTTCCTAAGGAAGTACATAAATACTCATGGACACCCAAGGAAATTGCAAATGGATCAAGCCACGGGTTTTTTCTCTAACGAAAATCAAAATTTCTGTAACTACGAACGTATCGAATTTATTAAATCTCCGGTCGGGAACATTAATGGTTGAACGTACTATTGGGTCGATAAAAAATTACGCGTTGACTTATCTCCAGGAAAATAAAAACTACAAGTTTGAAGCGATGATATCTCGTGCGCTTAGTGCATTACGTTTCGTGCCACATTCGAAAACTAAACTAACGCCGTTCGAAGCATACCATGGTCGAGAAGCAAATACGGCACTGCGAAATTTAACAAAAAAGCCGTCATTGAAAACTTAAATTGGGACAATGTTGTTAATCAAAAGTTATCTTGTTTAGACAAGGCGGGAAAACTCCCAGAAGTTGAACTTACCCTAGATTGGGAGAAGAGAAGTGACTTAGTGTACGCCCCTCAAAATAGGAAAGCTCCAATCATTTTGGATGATGACGTGGTAGCGGATCCCAAGGATCCGGAAGTTGTTGACCCCAAGGAACTAAGCCCACCCAAGACACCAACATGGCTGAAAAAGCATAAAACAAGTTCAACGACGGTGTATCAGAGGACCGGGAAGACGGATCCAAAGGACCCAAGGAGGTATAAATGTTTGCCATTAAAAATTGAAAAATTGACTAAGCATACGGTGCAAATGGAAAAAGGGTCGTTACTAAGGCGGAGTGGTGTGTCTTTTAGATCGGCGGCTGAAGAAAGCCTAATTGGAAATAGAAGCGAAGAGTGCACCCCTGGACCGAGTAGAAACGTAACTAGTACACCGGCCCCAAGCGAATCAAACAAGTATAAGCGAAAAGCCGAGAAGGACCGAACCGCAATGGAAAATGCAAGAAAATCGACAAAACAGCGAATAGTGGAATACTCGGCGGACGAGAGCGAGGACGACGACGACGACTACGATAGTGAGTGGGAAATCGGACGAAGGGAACACACCATAGGTGCGGCGAACGAAGAACAGGATGTACCGTCGGTTAGGGAGAATTCACCACGATCCGTCGGTGGAAAACGAAGTAAAAATCAGTACGAAACGGCGACGCGGAAATCAACACGGCAGAGACGCGGAGTTGACAAGATGGGGGGGGGGGGGGTTATGATCCACCGCATAGCACATAAATGAGGGAAACGACAAGAAGAAAAAAAGGAGAAAAGTAAACCTTAAGAGAGGTTTGGCGGGTGAGAAAACTCAACGAAAACTAAAAACTTAACTAGTACATTTATATAATACCAAACAGTAACAAAAAATTGATAAATTTTATCTACGCTAAAATTTATTTGTGGTTGCCCGAATGAGATAGGGACTAGTCTTGAGTTTATGTAAGTGCTATCAATTCTTCTAGATAGACACCAGTTTGAGTTTATGTAAGTGCTATCAATTCTTCTTTCTGTCTGGGGACCTTCTGTCTTGACCTTGCGATCTCTAATGTCCGATGGGATCTGAAATAAAAGAGTGCAGTAAGATTTCGATTTGATGCCTAACAGTTTGTCTACAATAAAACTTATTAACAACCTTTTTTGAATTTTCAAACTTACGACTTTAACAGTACTATAGTTTTACTTCAATGATATAACCTGTTGTGAACCGATATTAGAAATTTATTTGAACAAATTTCCGTTTGCGCTCTGAGAGGCGAAAAAAATTGCTTACAAAAATTATAGGAACGAAAACTGTGATTGTTTTACTCTTTGCTCCTTGCACAGCCCCTCAAATCATGTAAAAAGGAAGCTCATCAAAAAATTTGGTGCTAATTGCAAAGCATAACTTGTTCCGACCAAACCAACTCCCCTCCAGGGGTGGGAATGAATTATCCGTCTTTTACTCTTTTCGGCCAATTTCTTAAACCCAAAAAAGCTCGTACAACTACAGCAACCGGATATCCTCGTTGTTCCAATTACTTAAAATGTGAGGAGGAGTTTTCTATTCGGGTGTGTTTTATTTATTCTTTTACTTATTCATACTTTTTTAGAAAATTTTATTTTCGTCGAATTTTGAATAAAGTGAGAGAGCAGGCACATAAAAGTTAGTTTGAAACTTTAAAACTTACAATTACTAATTTTATTCAAGTTAAATCAATTACCGTTAATTTTTTCACCGCCTTCTTGGGAATAAATTTTAAAAACGATTTTTTTTGAAATTTTAAATTTTTTATTTTTGTTGAAAAACTGTTGTCAAATATTCTCTAAATTTTAGGTTTTAGGCTTTCGTTTAAATTCTTTCATCGCATCAAAAACATGACACGACGCATTTTGAAGAAAAAAAATTGCAATTTTTTATAAGTATAGTCGGAACATTCTGTGCTACTTGCACAACAACCGGCTATCCTTGTTTTAGATATGGCATCGTCTACGATACGGGGATGGAGCCGATGCTTGAAACCATAAGAGCATCTTACAATAGAAGTCTGATTCACACGCAGCTCATTGATGTGTCCATGAGTGTGGACAATATAGCCGAACAACTTGAGTCTTTCAAAATAAAAGACGTCAAAATAGTCCGAGCTGTGATGATCGCTGGTCATGGAAAAGTCATTTGTGCCGCATACAGAGCTGGCCTAATGACTTCCGACTACGTGTGGTTCTCGAATCAGTGGACGTGGGAGTTAATTTTGGACTCTCTGCCAGACTATTGCACCACTTCCGAAATTTCGCGAATCAAATCCGAAAGCAACGGGCTCCTGTCAATAACTTTGGACCCATCTAGCATAAAAGGAGTCGATTCTGATGTTGGAATTACCTCAGAGCAGGTTTTCGAAGCAATTCCAGAAGCAAAATACTGGGATTTGTATGTATACGACTGCTTTTGGATAATTGCGAAATGCATCGACAGTTTTATATCTGAGAAAACTACTCAGCAGAAACTGGAGTCTTTTATGACAAATGTGGACCGTGTTTCCTTTTACGGCGTCTCGGGTTTGGTTCGTTTCGATGGACTTTTCTCGTCAACTTCTCAGTTGCAACTGCAGCATTTGGTTGACTTTTCCGAAACTGTGAAAATTTCACAATTTTCATCCGAATCGTACGTCAGCATTGAAACTATTTATTGGAAATCAGGCGCTGTTCCGACAGATTTCACACAAAAAACTGTTATTCGGGTGATCGAAAAAACGGTAACTGTCAATAAAGTTGTTGCTTTGGTATGTTGTACCTGCGCCGGACTTTGTATTTTGCTTTGTATATGTATCGCGGTTATAAACTTCATTTATAAGAATGAGCCTATAATCAAAATTACTTCACCAATTATCAATAACTTCATACTTATGGGGTCAGTTCTTCTCTTTTTGTGCGTCGTCGCAATGTCATCGACTGCAGCAACTATTGACACTGACATTTTTCTCGCGTCGTGTAACTTTTACTTGATTTCAATCAACCTCGGGTTTACGACTACTTTTGGCGCCCTTTTTGCCAAAACATGGCGAGTTTACAAAGCATTCACGCAGTTTCACGCTCAAAAGTTGATCATTAGTGATCTTCAACTTGTTGTAACTATTCTGATTTTGATCGGACTGGATGCTATTATTTTGACTCTAGCGATGATTTTCGACCCTATGGGGTACGAGCTGATCCGAACCCACCGCAACACCGAGCTACTGAACGAGTTAACGGTGCAGCATTATCATTACAACGCACTCAAGTGTACCATGAATAGCAGCGTTTTCTTCTACATTTTTGGTGGAACGAAAGCTCTAATTCTACTTTTCGGCGGTTTCCTCGCCTTTGAGACCCGCAATGTTAACATTGAAGCTTTAAACGACAGCAAGTCGATCGCGATTTGCATGTACAATTTCTTCATAAGTACTTGCGTTGGAGTTGTGTTTAACTTCGTGCTGGATTGGGATCAGAACGAGACATATATCTTGCTCGGACCTCTTATTCTAATTGTGGCTCTTTTTCCCATTCTGGTGTTGTTCACACCGAGGCATCTGAAGCTAGCATTGCAACGACAACCAATTCAAGTTAATGTTCGGAACTCTGCGATTGGAGCCAATGCTAAAGTGGGTCAACACCAAGCCAATTGAAAATTAGCTTGCATTTCAAAAGAGCAATATTATTAGGAAAAGAAATTATCCAAAAAAAGCATGCCAATTTTAAGAAAGTTAGTTAGATAAACTGAAAATAATACAACGCATTTTTGATAACATTTTCTGCTAATAGTTTTATGCATGTCTTTTGTGCGATGATTACTAAATATAAAGAAAAACCGAAGAGCATGAATTGACTGTTTGAATCTGTAGAATTAAGTTTTAACATTATTATTTTTGATCAATCAAAACTATATGCTAACAATTTTTTTGAATGTATATTCTGGGCAGTTTCAAAATCAGAGTTACGCGAGTTCCGGAATTTGTGTCGCTAAATAACTTCATCGGGGTATTGTTTTGCGAAATCATTGAACTTTTTGAGGATTTTGAATCTATCTTCAATTTCGCCCCTGTTTTCTTGCACAGTTTTCATGATGGACTTAGCAATTCCGAGTGTGAACAAATGAGGTCGGAGCATACTTTCTATTTCCTCCTCAGTCGCCTGGGCGTGATCTTGTTTCACCTGTTCACACTCTAACTCGAGCTCTTCACACTTTGTGTGGCAGCTGTCAATAAACTGGAGGTGCTCCTTTGCGCCCCAGTCTAACATGTCGATTTCTTGAGTCAGCAGGTCAAATGCGTTCGACCTAAAATCGAAATTAAAGAAGTTTTGTAGCTTTTAAGTGATTGCAATAGTTTGACTAGAATCACTCTCATCAGTCACCTTCACCAATCGGAAAATTCCTCCAACTTTATATGAAAAAAGAAACACTCCAGTTTTTTGCATTCAAAAATTAATTTGTTTTTGTGTGCTTAACGTAGTCCTGGATACATAAAATTTGAAATTTTTCCGTTTGTCTGGAGAATTTTTTTAAAACGTCGATTTCTTTTGTAGACCATTTTTATTTGTATGCCTTGATCAATGCGTGATTAATCAAAAACTCAAATTTTAAAAATGATCATATTTGAAAATTTTTGGCCAAATTTTAAAAATTAATACTTTTATGGTATCTTCTGTGAAGGAAGCATTGAACACCAACCCAAAACTTTTGAGAAAAGATTATTTTTAAGAAAAGTCAAATTTTTGGTTTATGGAAAACTAGAAGTCACACAATCGCCATATAGGAAAAATCACTAATCATAGAGCTTTCATGCAATTTTCTGATAGGTGTATGTTTAGAACTTTTCCATATAGGAAACCTACTTGACTAAAAATTTTGGTCAACCCGGGAGGTGTTTAGCGTCTAGTAACACGTAATAAAAAAAACCAATAGCTATCTCTTTTTGAAGCATGTAATAATTTTGAAATCTAATTTCGCATAAAATTTTCATTTCAATCAAGCCCGCAAAATATACTACTCGGGAAAAATTTTAAATGAAACAGAGAGTAAAGAACTTGGGACATTAATAATAAATTTGTATCGACCAACTTTTTTATTAATTAGATCAATTTGTTTGCCCTGGAAGTTAATTTTTGAAAAACCGGTATTTCCCCCCTAAATTTATTGAGGAGGGGAACTGTGGGGATTGATCCAAATTTTCTAACGCTTTATCTGTACGAAACAAAATCGCAGGGAAAATTAGCCTTAATTTTGAGCTCAATACTTTTCAGGTGCTAGAAAAAATTCCGTTCAAAAAATCATCATTTGTCCAAAGAAAAAAAAAACATTAAAAATCGAGCACAAACCGTCCATCTCTTTCTTCGAAAATCGGAGATTAACCCAATTGTAATTTCATCTTCAAAAACTTTTAACCCTTTAATTTCTGTGATTTACTTTTTTTAGACTCCCATTGTAATCAAAAACAAATTTTTCATAAAAAACTTACTAAAATAACTTGTTTTATAAAGCATATACCCTTATAATTTCTTATAAAGTTTTGTAAAGGAAACTTAAGACCAGCCAATAAATTGCTGGTTGAGATATCTTGTTATGTTACGCAGATTGGTGCCTATTTTTGCCACAGTGTTACTTTTGGGAGGGTTTGTATGTTTTTGCGTTAGTTTCCTATCAGGTTACTTCTCAGATGAATTATTTTTTCGAAAATCAGTTCTCAAGGGCTAGATACTAAATAACTGCAGTTTCTAGAATAAAAACTGAAAGATTTTTTTTTAGTTTTTTCGGTTTTTGAGCTGAGTAACGGAGCGTGTAAGTTTGGTGTGGTTTTCTTTTTTCTTATTCATATCAATTTTGACGATTGAAATCTTAAGTTCAAAATAAAATATGTTTTACCATAGAATATATAGACCCTTGATTTTAAGTGGTCATAGATTTTTCTCTTGCAACTATTTTTGGAAAAAAATTATTTCTGAAATTTTAAATTTGGCGCATTTTTGGTTAATTTTGTGTACGTTTTTATGAATGTATTCTTTAGTAGCTGAGTAGCCGTTTTTGGCCCTGAAATTATCTTTGTTCCCATTGTTTGAATTGTTTCAATAATTGGCACTCTGAATAGTTACGTTATCCCATATACACAACTCTTTTCGCAAAAATGTGTATGCACGGGGAAAATAGACCGTATTACTTTTTTCTTTTATTTTTGGTCAGTATCCTGGAGAACTGTTAATGAGGCGATCAAAACAGACAAAAAAGCTATTGATTTGAAATTTTCTATGTTTTTCCAGCCTTTTTGACTGCAATTGTCTGACCAATTTCAGCAAAGTACAGACTATGCCCCATACAAAATGCAGTGTTTGTGCGTTAAAAATATCAGTTTTTTCGGTTAAACCAACGTAGTATGCAGACAAACTTCATTTTTAGGCCTATGGATCAGTGACCGCCCGAAACAATTGTCGGATTTTCTTAATCATCAACTCACACGCCATACAACACAAAGTGATAGTTTTTGCTCCCATTAATGTAGCAATTATAACAAATGGCCTGCTCCAACCAATTTGGAACGAGTTCTAAACGGATTAAATCGGTTTATAGCGCAAAATGTATTGTATGCTTGGGGTGGTTTTTTATTCGGTCAATTTTCGGCGATCAATGAATACCTTTTAACAATATTTTTTATTTTCACTCTATTGAAGATATTGACTTTCTGAAATCAATTTTAAAAAGATATTTTTCCTCCGATCGTTTTTTTTGCAAAATTCTGGCAATTTGAAAGTTGCCAATTTGGTCACATTCTGGACTAATTTATGCGCGCTTTGAGAAATTTAGTCATAAAAATTGGTAAAAAATGGCTAGTTAAAAAGTTGAAATTTGTTTGGAGAAAAAAAACAACCCAAGCGCAATTATTCCGTCAATTTCATCGAAAGAAGTTGTGACATTTAGGGTGAAAATTCCCGTTCTGCAAGTTTTTCCAAATTGTTTCTGAGCGTGTTAATGGGCTCTTATCAATTCCTTGAACCACTCAGACTAAAACAATTACTATGTGACGTTGGTTGTCGAGAGAGGAATAACAAAATCTTCAATCGAAACTAGTTAAATGGATCATTCAAGGTTTCACCCGGTATGAACAGTCTTGTTTGAGGTTCTTTGAGGTTCAAAATATTTGAAGGACAGTGAAAACAGTTGAATGATTTTTTTTTGGTTTTGTGTGTGTTTGGTTAGGCTAAAATAAGGGTGTGCCTAACCAAATGCACACAGAAACGTGAGCTTTTACTGGTTTAAACATAAAATACGTATATTTTGTGTATGTGTGTATGTGTGTGTTTTTGTGTGTTTAAGTCGGAGAAAAGATGTGAAAGCAGTTTGAATATCATAAACTGTTAAACTGAAATAACAGTAGTTTATAATCATCCAACACTTTTTTGTTCTCTGAAACAGGGCAGTGGTTAGATTTTGACTCTGGATTAAGTATAGATTTTTCACGGATCGTCGTAAAACGATATATAGCAAGACGCCAAACTCATTTTCTGAAAAAAATAATAGCAGTGTTTCTTGTGGAAACGAAGAAACTGGCAGAACTTTTATGCTCGGTGGGTTTTTTTTCCTCCGGACCGAGTTGAACTTTCCAAATAGCCACTTTTGAACTTTTTTCTGTCACTTTTTTATGATTTTGGCCTCTTGTGCTGAAATTTGAAAAAATTATTACTCCTTGACCATTTTATGTGAAACTACGAAGTATCAAAAATTACCGATTCGGCCAATTTAGTGGATTCAACGCGCGATAATAGCGGGTAGGGGAACATTTTTTTAAAATTTCATCAACTTTCGAAAAATGATTTTTGAAAAACGTAAAAGGGCATTTGCAATTTTCAGGGCTCCACGAGCAACTTTGTAAAGCAGTGCTGACTTCAGCAGTCGTTCTGGTAATTGCATTATTGTTTCGACTTTTGAAGAAAGTGACAGAATATTTGTGCTCGGGGTGATTTTGTTCTCCAGACAAATTTTGACTTTTAACTAGCCGTTTTTGACGGAATTTTTTTCCTGAGATCGAATTGAAAAAGATATTTTCCCAGTGATTTTTCTTTTGGAGAGTTATGGGGTTCTAAAATTGCCTATTTGTCCGTAATCTGGGCTAAATGATGCGCACATCGAAGAGTTTATACATAACGCTGAGAGCGTAACGCATTATTTATGCGTTGTAAATTATCCCGCACAACGAAATCGTTCCGAATTGAATGGAGGCAAGCTAATCAGTCGTATTAATTTTCACAATTGATCTTTGATATTGTCCAAAACTTTCAGCGTTTCAATATATTTTTTTTTTCACAAAAAACTATTCGAGCTGGATTACGGCCATTAACACGCAGTCGGAACATTCAAGGCTTTGCCCCGATACACGAGCAGTCTTGTTTTATTACATTTTATTTCTCTGTTACTGCTTCATTGACTCTAAAAGATGGTCGGAACATGCAGAGCTTCGCCCTGATACGAGCAGTCTTGTTCGAATTTGCCTCGGTTAATATCATGTTTTTACGCAAACAAACAATTAAATACGTTTTGCATGTGAAAACAAGGATAGCCGGTTACTGTGCAAGTAGTGTGGTCTTAAGTATGGTCTTTAGAAAACCACGGCTTAGAAAGTTAGGCATAATAGACAGTTACATATAATGGGTAAAGTGGACAATAAAGAAAAGTGACTAAAAAAACAAAAAAAAAATTAGAAAAAGTTTGTTTTTCAAAATTTTTTATTGAAAATTTTTGAATTTTTGAAGTTTTCCACTAGTTTTACTCATTGGTCATTAAATTGATGAGTTAGACAGATAATGGTCAAAATAAATTAGTAAGCTGACTTTGGTCAGATTATAAAAGATCTAAACCTAAAACCAAATGCTATCAATAAAAGCGATCAATACTGAACATGCGAAAACAACTTACGAAAGGCTGTGCGACATTTTCTGGAATCGTTTTTCCAGAAACATTTTGGTCTGCTCGACAGTAGGGTACTCCAGCATTTTCTTCCGGGGGAATATTTGGAGCTGTTCTGATCCAAGTGACCAGGGACTGCTGCATATTCCTATGATTTGGATATCTGTGCTGTTCAGAATGAAAGCTCGCATCGTCTCGTGGATTTCGTTATTTGCGTTGTCGTCGCCTTCATACACCTGAAAATGACAAACTTTGAGAGAAAGCATGCGTAGTTTGACATTATTAGTTCACTCTTTGCATTGTATGCTATTTGATGCTCGATGAACGTAGATTTTTTTCTGCGTGTGTGGGAGTTGAAGAGTTCCACAGTTTGTTAATGAAAAAATATTACATTCAAATTTTGTTTAAGCGAAGCTGCCAGAATTTGTAACTTTTTGAAAATTTCAAAAGATCAAAGCCCAGCAAAAACTCAAAAATTACTGTGTCGTTGAGCGTATGATAAACCACGCTTCGCTTTTGTTTGCCCATAGCTCCCCTTTTGGTGGCATACCTGATGATGCATGTCTTCCAGTACGACTGCTGCGGGCATGTGTTGTCTGGCGAAGGAGAAGGCATACTTGAACAGAATGGGGCCATATATGGAAAGATCCTCTGCAGACACGCTCACAAATGTCACTCCAGGCAGCTCAAATGGCAACACTGTCTTCACCAAGTGACTCTTGCCTACCTGCGGAAAACTTTTTGTTCATCAAAAAAGTGTGACGATTTACCCACATATCATTTATTGTTTAAAAAAGTCCTTAAAAAACGAGGAAAGAAGTTAAGAAATACCCGAGCTACTCATGAAAATGCCCAAAAACTAAAGGCCAAAAGGTATAAATAAAAAAAAACACTTGGTTATCAAAAAGGAAAGTTTTAAATCACAGTACTTGTTTTGGTCCGTAGATGAGAACCGGATCGAAAATCTTATCACGTTTCCTCTCTGATTTGTTCATCTTCTCTCCAGTGGCGTCATCAGTTTCGTCTTCACTTTCATCTCCGTCGTCGTAAATCCCTCGTTTAGATTCTTCCATATACGGAGTGAGAAATAGCTGAACTAGCTCAGGGTCGAAAGGAAACGTTTTTTCTTCGATTGTTGATTTGAAGAAGGCACGAGTCTCAGTGTTCAGAGAATCCACTGGTCCGATTACAGAATACTTTGTCTTCGCTTCTTCCTTCATTCGTGCCTCAAACCTACACAAAATAAAGCCCAGAAGGTTTTTTGGTTCTGGAACTTTGCTGTTCCAGAAAAATATATATACAAATCAAAGCTGGATTAAGATGAGGGTTTAAACACCGAATATATTTCAATCTCACCTTTTTCTTTCTCTCTCATCATGTTGGGCTGTCAGCACTGTTATTTTCTTGTTCAATTCTCGCAGTTTCTTATCCAGTTTGATTCTGTTGTCAACTAAACCATAATAATACCCAAACAAATGATCAGTGGAAAGAACGCTATCGACCGAGATCCAGCACTCCAGGGGCCGGTTTAGGGGCGAGGGGATGGGGGCTTTATCCGACCACTCACCAACCAAAGAGTCCAACCTTTGGTATTATTTTATGACATCCATTGTTGGCTTTTTGCGCTACTATATATCAGTTTTGAAGGGGAGAGAAAATTCTAGATCCGCTCCTTGACCGAAACTATCTCAAAAATGAGCCCTAACAGGTAGTGTGCATAGAAATTTTTTGACACTTTTTGCGGAATTAATCGTTAAATTTTTCTAGGCCAGCCACCTCAAGCTTCCTAACCAAATAAAAATATTTCTATAGGTCTCGTATTACAAAAAATTGCGTTTCTGAGTCCTGAAAAAAGTTTGAGAATGGGTTCGCCGCTGCGTAACTGATATTTTAGATTGTTAATAAATCTATTATTTTACATTCTGGCTGCCACCGTACAGCATTAAATATAAATCAAATCATTTTCAGTAAAATTTACCTAGTTGGATTTTGGGGAGTGACATTGAGATGAAGTTGATCGCCCTCTCGTAATGATAAACGGCCGCTAAGTAGTTCAACTCATCTTCCCCATTTCGAGCGTTATTTTGGATTCTTTCCTCACTCGTTCTGCCTCCCTTTTCCTCCAGTCTTGAAGCTCTGATCTCCTCAATTGCTATTTGAAGAGGATCCTTCCTCAAAATTGTAATCGGGGGAGATAACATTTCAACAGCGTCAGACATTTTAGAACGAAAGATTTGCTAGATTTTTAAGAAAACTTTTATCTGACTCTGAATAGAATCGTATTTGTCTGAGTAGAATCGTATTTGTTCAATATATCTTGCATTTGTAGCTGAAACTACTTTCAATCAATCAAGAGCTCAAATATTCATGTTTTTCAATACTACAGAATCTCAATGTTGTGTTATTTTTTTGGATGGCATGTAACAATCAAAAACTGAGCCATTGGTGTTTATGCGCAAACACAAACATTTGGCTGCACTTCGCACGCATCAACTGAAGAATCAAAACAATTTTACTTTTTGTAAGAACCATTCCACTTTTTTATTCGAAATTAGATCAAAAGTGATTAATTATCGTAGTCCTAAAACTTTTACAATTCATGCAAATTTTGTATATATAAAAAATGGACATTCTCAAATGAAATCCGCGTGTCATTTTGTTTTGGAACATTTTTTTTGACAACCCGCAACTTGAACATTATCAGCAGTGACGACGTTTTAATAAAGAGTGTCGACTTTTTTTTAGGTCGACCAATTTGATTTTTCCAGCACTCCAAAAACTATAACAACTCCATTTTGTTTAAAAATTTTTTACACTGCTGGTAACTTTTGAAAAAACAGGCTAGAAGGGACTTTGAGCCCTTTAAAAAGTTTTGACAAAAAAGTTGTGTTTTTTTGGTGCATCCCCCCTCGCCCCTCAAACCTAGTTATATTGTTACATATATTTATATTATTTTCGTCATGCTCAGAAATTCACTCATTTACTCATATCAGCCTTATAATTTATAAGACTGATTTGGGTAATTGGTTGAATTTCTGCGCATATCGATTTAATATAACTAAAAATAAAAAACTTGGGCAGGAGCAGTTCCCTCTTTGTAATAATTTCAAACACCCAATTTTGGCGACTTAGCTTGAAATTTTTCTAAGGGCGTCTTTGGCGCTAATTTATACTAATTTTGATGGGAGCGCGCGCCAAAAAAATGAAAATTTTTATTCAAAGTGCGTAAAAACGCTTCTTTTGCCTCTTTTTCAAAATTTTGTTTATCCGCGGCGCAGAAAATTTTGTTGACCTGAAAAAAAGTTTGACCAAAAATTTGAAATTTTTCTGAAAATTCTTCTGATCGAGAAAACCTAGAACCTCTCCTGATATTTATTGGGATTTTATGTGGATTTGAAAGTTGCTAATATGGCCAATTCGTGATACATAACGAGCAACATATTGCGTTCTTATAACATGTGTGAGCTGCGGGTTAAACTGCTGTTTTTTGAGTTGAGGCATATCTCTTTCTTGTATCCATTAAACTTTTTTCTATCAATTATTTCAACCAAAAGTTTCTTTTTTGGCCTTAAGGAGCAGTTGCAACATTCAGGGATTTCTAATCTTAAGCTTTACTAGTTAGTATCGGGTTTTACTAGTTAGTATCGAGAGAAACACCCCCAATAACATTGTAACCATCGAACAGAAATCAGAGTTTTCCATTGAAGTGAACTGTCTAGTTTTGTTGAGCCAAGTTCATTGCACCCTGTTCTCTCTGGTGCATCCAAAATGCCTTGCCCGTGTTTAAAAAAATAGCAGTGGGTAATTTCTTTTTTTTTCTGGCACCAGATTCTTAAGTTAAACGCGCCAAAAATTTAACTAACTTGCACCAAAGTTTAATTTTGATCCTGTCTATATTTTATTTTACTCGCTCCAGAGCCCAAATTTAGCCTCAACATTGTCGCGCGAAGCTCATACTTGAATCAGTCGCGACAGTCTTGACTTAATCGAGCCATAGGGTCTCTGAATTTAGTCGCGTTGAATTCTTCTACACTGCTGTGCTGTGAAAACCAGACTAATTCAGGGAAATTTGAGAATAAAAAAAATTGCTTCCATTGACGTTGCACAAAGTTTTAAAATGAAAAATTTGATCTGAAAGCTTACTTGTATTTAAGATTAAAAAATAACAGCAACGTTGTTTTCTTCTGAATCAAAGTATTAGCTTAGGTATGATTTTTGAAAATGCATGGAGTATGGGAAAAAGCATCAGTATCATTTTATCTGTTCAGTTTTTTCCGGTTGTTGGCACTTCTCCGTACCCAACAGAGGCTGTTTTTCTAGATAGAACTTTTATATAGATTATCTAGCTAATTTTTCTGTATTTTCTGAGCAGAAATGATATATTTGCTTCTAGTACTGTTTCTGGAAATAAATAACCAGGAATCAATTCACTGCTCAACCGCAACGAGATAAACATGCTTCGAGTATACACAATAACAGCATCAATAGAGGGCAAAATTAAACTTGTTATAACAATTGTTAATTGTATTAGATTGCCAAGACTATTATTGTTTATCATGGCATATGACCTAGTGGTCGGCACATCCGGCAGCACATCCATTTTCACAAGCTTCGTCATCTGCGTAAAATTTTTTCCTTCAGGTGTTTTGTTTGGACTAAAAACGATAGTTTTAGAATCACGCCGGCCGCGGCGTTCATCTTTATCTGGTTTGAACTTTTCTAAGAAAAGTGTTTGGCAGTTTTTTTTATTATCTCGACTGTTATCATCTCGTTTGCGATTGTTTTTCACAGTTGATCCTGTTTGGGCAATTTCTGTTGCGTCAGTCGTAATCGTTTTTTGAGTTACAGGTCTTCGTTGTTTTTCCTCGTGGAGCTCGAGGCGTTCCAGTTTGGTTAGTTTTTATCAGTTTGCATTGGTCTAGACTTTGCACAGTTCGATAATTTTGCTGGCAACGTTTCCTTTGGTAGCCATCTATAACAGAAAGAAAACTTGAATTTTGCGACATCAATTCTGATATCATGACCGGTCATTCGATCGAATCATTCGGAGTTTTGTCTAACGAGGGGATGAGCAGTACCAAAGTATGAGAGGACTCGAAATAAAAAAGTTCAAGGCCAGCTCTATATATTTGTGAAAACACTGAATTCATTTCTTGATAACTTTTTTATTTATATCGTATCAGTTTCTCATCGAAGGTTATTGCAACACACTTTCAATTTTTCGTTCTAACATAAGACATCATTTAAGTTTCCTTCTCCCGAGTTTTTCCCAATTTTTTTTGACTCAGCCTCTGTATTGTCCTCCGCCGCTGCATGGGTCTCTGTCGCTGTTTTCGGTTTTCTTTCCTCTTGTTGTTGTTTTTCATATTCATATGTAGTGTTGACTTCTTCTCTTTCCTTTTCATTTTACTCTCGCTTGATTCTTGCTTATTTTTGGTATAAGTATATAGTACAAATAGCCTTTCTATCGTATTTTGGTTGTCGCGGTTTGGGCTAAACGTTGAAGGTACTTGGTCGACAACGTCTACTTTCTTACTGTTGAGATTGAGTTATATTGCCCAGAGGAATTTTATACACGCCTGAGTTTCAGCGACTTCTGATTGAAACCCTATCTAGTATATTACTTTTTTTACAATCGATTTGATCTCTGTTGACTGCTTTTTCTTGTCTTCCTCGATTGCGTTTTGGGGTTTCCGAGTAGCCGAAAGCCGATTGCCCGTTCCTGGCGAACGTTTGTGTCACTTTTGCCAGAATTCTAGGTAAATTAGTTAGTTTTTTTTGTCTCACCGTTTTGGAGATGATGCCGTATTCTCCGAAGTTGAGGAGCAGTTATTGTTTGATGACGATGAATGTTCAGGCTTTTCTATTGTCTGACCATCGCAGTTTTTCCTCCGGTCATTTCTCCGGTCTGCAATTTTTCCCCTTTGCTTTGAAATGCTGCTCTTTTTGTTTCTTTCTCTTGGATTTTGTGTCAGCCCTGTTTTCCTATCTTCCTTGAATATCGGGTGTCGCTTTGCGCTCGGCTGTCTATAAAACCTAAACATATTTCTGTTTTCTTGCAGATTTATATGCAACGTATTAACTTTAACAAGATGGGTTGTCTGGTCCATAGATCTTTGGAAGAGGGTTGCTTACCTAGTGTCTTTACACAGGCTTATGTGGGTCGTAAGTCAGAGTTTTTCCGTCTGTCGTTTTGTATTTTTGTGGCAAGGTGCACTCTTTTTCCTAAAACTTTTCTCTGCGTTTTTAAAAGCTTTTCCCCCATCTGTCTTTGCATCCACTAGCTAAAGTATCTTAAATTTAAAATTTACTTTGTTAGCTAATTTCTGCCTAGTTCTCACACCTGTGTTGTGATGTGTTTGTGATGTTGAGGCATGGTCCACGTGGATTGGTTCCAGCTTTTCTTCTGCTGGCCTTGTTTTGATCGCTATCTTGTCCTCTGATCAACGTTGTAGATCGTGTAGATCAACGTTGTGGAACGTTGTAGATCGTGTCGGGTTCATCAAATTACTACCATATAAACATGCGTGCTCTGCAGTTTAGAATATTTGATGAGCTTGTTATTTCTAATCTCGAAAACGATGTATTTGGTTTTCGACCATTATGAGCATCGAACGGTGAAACTCTTTTACCCCGTGAGAATTGTTTCTCAGAGTTTTTGTAATTTTAGCGAAGTCAGATGTTAAGTCGAATGGTGTTTTGTTTTTTTCATTACCTATTCTTTTTAATCTACGTTTGAATTTTTGTATCATCCCATCTACGACTTCTATAGCCCATATTCAACGGCTGAACCAAATAGTAGTTTAATGCTGTTTCCATTAAAAAATTTCTGACTATTTTTCAGTCTTGATGTTTGTGCTTGATCACATCTAATTTTCCTAGGAACAACGTTGAAATGTTTTTTTTTCTTGCATAAACTTTATGACAATGTCTATTATGTTATTTGATGTCACTTTAACGTTTGCGAAAGTTGATTAACTATCTATTGCTAGGATGTACGCGTCTCGATTGAGCTCATGCGGGAGGAGCCCTAAAAAATTTTAGTTGCAGCTCTTTGTTCGGTTCACCTACTGGTTCAATCTGTAGAAACTGAGATTTTCCTATTGCCTGTTTTTAATCTTTTGTCTTGTTTGATGTATTGAAATTGCGTTTTTTGGACAATTGATTAAGGAATGTGCCGGAGCAATACGTGTTTACAAAGCTCGAGCATCGCCGCAGATTCTGGATGTAACAGGTGGATGCTTTCGAGTACTATCTCTTGTAATGGCGTGTGAGCGCAATTCTTTCATCAAGGAGTTCGCAGTCGTCACCCATGTATGGGCAATTTTCGATTTTGAACAATTACTGGTTGTAAGTGCATTTAAGCTCCTCCCGTGCG